CTTCTTTTTTTTTTTTGCCCCCCCCCCCCCCCCCCCCCCCCCCCGGCCCCGCCTGCAGCGCAACACCGAGACGCACCTGCCTGAGCTGGAGAGCCAGGCGGGTGTGGTACTGGATGTGGAGGATCTGGAGGGGCAGCGGTATCGCCTGCGCCTCACCTACTGGACCAACAGCCCCAGCAGCGGCAGGTGGGTGCCGCCCGCGGCAGCTGGCGCGCCTGCCTGGCGCTCGGCTCCTCACCTGCTGGCCCCGACAGGCCTGGTTGGGACTGGGAGCACCGTGCCACTACCATTGCTGCCTGCCTGCCTGCCTGCCTGCCAGCCTGCCTGCCCTGATGTCCACCATGTGTCTTGCTTGCCTGCCCTGCCACAGGATGTACATTCTGGAGGGCACCTCCCAGCTGCTGCAGCACTACCGCCTGCGCACGGGCGACGCGCTGGTGGTGGCCCGCACAGGAGACGGCGGCCTGCTCATGGCAGGCCAGCGGAAGCAGGCAAGCCGGGCTGGGGCTACCTGCTCCCGAGCAGATTGCATCAACAAGCTGGGGCTGGCGCTGACATTGTTGTGAGCTCGCCGCACCACTCTTTGCCAAGCAGAAGAGCAACAGGGCTGAGCAAGCTGTTTGCTGATTGCTCCATGGCAGGCAAAGGTCAAGCGATCGGCATCAGATGCGCAGCTCACGCCGCGCAGCAGCAGCTGCACCAGCAGGGCAGCCGGGGCCCCGCGCACCGCTGCCCAGGGGCAGGCGAGGGCGTCGCCGCGGCGCGCGGCGTCGGCACCGCACCTGCCGCTGAGGCAGCAGTCCAGGCAGCGCAAGAGGCTGCCAGCTGCTAGCGAGGCAGCACCAGCGCCGGTGCCAGCAGCAGCGCTGCCGGCTCGCGCTGGCCCAGCATTCGTTGTCGTGCCGCAGCAGCAGGCGATGCAGTTTCTACACAACATGCGGCCAGCAGCACCAGCACAGCAGCACCATCCTGGCTTTCAGCTGGCTGTGCAGCCGCGGGGGCAGCCCGTGCGGCCGGTGGTGCAGCGCGGGGTGGCTCACAACCTGCTGGCTCAGCAGCTGCCTCTGCTGTTCCTTTCACCGCAGCAGCAGCAGCAGAAGCAGCGGCCCCATCAGCCGGTGCAGAAGCAGCAGCAACTACAGCCGTGGCCGCCACAACACGCAGCACAGCAGGAGGGGAGCGGTAACCCACAGTGGCAGCAGGTGCCACACGTCCAGCCGACTCATTTACCTGAGCAGCTTCACGCACAGGCAGCACCACCTCGAGGACCGGCCGGCCCTGCTAGTTCTGGTGGTGCTGCTGCTCTGAGCAGCATGCTGGTGGCACGACCAGCACCTGCAGCTATGGGAGCCACCGAGCTGCTCCCGTCGAGGCAGCAGCAGCAGCCGCAACAGGCCTCAAGTGCGATGCCAGCCCTGCAGCAGCAACAGGCTGGCGCCGCGGTGCACCACATGCAGCAGCCGACGGCGGCAGCAGTGGTGGGCGCTCACCTCGACATCGCTGCGGCCTTTGCTGCAGCAGACCCTGCCACTCAGGCTGCCGTGCTGGCCAACCTGCAGCCGCACCTGCAGCAGCAGCAGCAGCAGCTTCCAGCGATGTCAAGGGTGCCAAGTCCATTCCCTGGCATTGGGGACCCCCCAGCGCTGCTGCCGGGAACCCAGCCCGCTCTGGCATCAGCGGTTGTTGCTGCTGCCCAGGCCCAGCAGGCTGCTGCGGAGCTGTCTGCTGCCGCTGCTGGCCCTGCAGCCTTCAGCTCACAGACAGACATTGACATAGATAGCCTGCTGATGCCGCCGCCGTCACTGCCACAGCAGCCTCGGGGAGCGGCGCTCGCTGCGCAGAGGCAGCAGGCACTGGCTGCGGTCGCCCCAGGCGCGGTGCAGGAGGGGACAGCAGGCTTTCCACTGCAGCCTCAGCCGCTGGCCATGCCATCTGGGCAGCCTCAGCCTCAGCCTCAGCCCCAGCCTCAGGTGTGACCCCCATCAGTTCCCTACCAGCAGCAGTCAGGGCTGCTGGCAGCAGGCCCGCAGCCACCAACCATGGGAGCAGGCCAGCTGATGCAGCGGGCCTCCAGTGCCTATCTGGCTGCAGCAGCAGCCATGGAGGCTGCTGCCAGCCTCACAATGGCGACGTCCGAGGCGCCCGCACCTGCTCAGAACGCTCTTGCGCCACCATTTGCCCCGATTCAAGCTCCCCTGCAGCAGCAGCCCCTGTTGCCCCCACTCGTCTGGCCGCTGTCGCAGCCGCCGCCGCCGCCGCCGCAGCAGCAGGTGTTCCAGCAGCAGGTGCTCCAGCCTCTGCCACAGCAGCAGCAGCCGCTGTTCCAGCCGCAGCCGCAGCCGCTGGCTGCCGCCCTGCCGCCCTCGTTACTTGAGGCTCCGCCGCCAGCCGCTGGCGCCGGGTCGCTTCCCCAGCACGCCTGCAGCACACCCACCGCGAGCGGGGCCAGCATCCTGCTGCCATCCCAGCTGCTGGATCCCCTGCACAGGCCGCAGCAGGAGCTGCTGCAGGAGCCCATCTCGCCCCTGTTCTCAGTGGTGTCAGGCTCCAGCCACTCAGACCCACAGTAGTGCGTGTGTGCCCCACTTACTTGCTTACTCTTAAAGTCCCAGCGAGCACCCACCACTTGCCACCCCGCCTCA